GCTTCCCCAGAACAGGGCAGAGGGATTGCACAAGGAAGACACCTCACACAGCACAGTTCCTTTAGCTTAATCTTGAATCAAGACGAGGAGCATTTACAGCCCAAGATTTCTCACCCACTGCAGCAGGCCCCCCGCCGCTCAGAACTGAACTTGTCGGGATGCACCAGACGGGCTTCCGCGGTTCTCAGGCAGGGCCTACTCCTCACACGCCTGCAGTGGGCAGCGCTGGCGGGCGGGCAGCCCCTGGTGCAGGCTGGGCACCCATGCCCCAGCCAGCAGGCTGCATGGTGCTGGTGGAAGGCACCAGGGAGCCCTCTGGGAAAAGAGCCTTTGCTGCAGTGGCACCATCCCGCTAGCAGGGAGCTGCCCGACTCTCATGGATCGGGGGCGGGCGCCAGCGAGAGGCCCCCTGCTCCCCTTTCCAGGACCCATCATTGTCTTAATATCTCACAGCTCTTTGGGGTCACCCGTGAACTTCCAGCTGGCCACGTGAATCCTCCACTCGGGTTCTGAGAAGACAGCCAACGAAGTGGAGTGGAAAACATCATGGGTGGAGGTGAGTGAGCCCAGAGGAGTCAGAGGAACCCCGCTCTGGGGGCAAGTAAAGGTCACTTTGGGCAAGAGACATGAGTGTTAGTAAAAGTGGAAGTGTGTGCGGGCCAGCGTGTGGGAGAGAAGGTCAGGGGAAACTTGGTGGCTGCAGGAACCTCAGGCTCATTTATGAATGGACCCTCATGACCAGCCGGGAGTGGGGGCGGGAAAGTGCTAGGTGTCGGGGGAGTCCAGAGACGTGCCCATCAGACGTTCCACGGAGGGAGCGGCAGGGGCCTCACTGAAGCTTCATTCAGAGCTTGGGAGGTGACAGGGACTCAACGCAGAAACCAGGCAGCCCTCCCACACAGACAGCAGGGGCCGTGGCCAGCATCAGACAGAGCAGTGGGCTCCAGAGGGGACATCTGGTTGTGGGCTCTGCTTGTCTCAAGCGTTGGAAATCAGTGTCTAAGCGTTATGTGTGTGCCTCAAAGACCCCAAATTCCAAAATTAAAAAAATGGGGTTTCTAGGAAGAGCACACGGCCGGCTCCTGGACGTGACCATCACGGTGCTGCCCGAGTGGACAGAGCAGGGTGTGTGTGAGGACCTCATGCCCCTGTGGATTCTCCCGACCTGTGCTGTCGGCAAAGAGCCCTGGGCCTGGTGTCAGAAGATCAGGGTGGAGATGTACCTCTGCCACCATCCAGCTGTGCTTGGGCACATGCTTAGCCCCTGGAGTGCATATTGTCACACACATGTTTCTGCTGTGGTCCTGCCAAGGGCCTGGGCTGGGTCTCATTTTCCTCCTGTGTGAACGACACAGCCGCCCTAGATCAACCCGGGATTGAAACCATGTCACTTTTTTTTCTATTTTTTGAGCATTGTGATAGAAATCTGGGTCTTCTGATAGACACATGAACAATTACTGTTTGTTTATTGAGTTTCGGGCCTTGTCCTTTCAAATAGTAGCTGTTTTAGTTTTTCTTTATTGGATATTTTTACACTGTAAAGGTGCACCCAATTTAATAAGCAAACATTAAAAGATAGAAAAAGAAAAAGCTAGTATTTTTACCCTTCCTTCTGTTCCACTCTGCTGTGATAATGAGCTGACACCACAGGGCCATATTTTTCTCTGCTCCTGGGAACGTGCGGGTCTGTGGTCGTGGATGTGCAGTGTCACACAGGGTTTCCCTTGTCTTCCCTGCTGTGTGACTACAGCTGTCCTGAGCACAACCCTGCAGTTACAGGACCACTGGCCTCTCTCTGAGCATCCCTCCAGCCTCATGCCCACAGATAAGGGGAGCTGGGGGGAAGTGCAGGGGACCCTGGGGGAGAGGGGACAGCTCCAGGCCAGCTGCAGGCACTGCAGAAGCTCCCACCACCCTGTGCAGGGCGGGTAGGGGACAGGGAGGGCTCAGGGGACTCAGGAAAGATGGCCCTTGCTCTGGGCTGAGGAGCCTGCTGGGGGGCCAGGGAGAAGGCACGGGGGCACTCAGGGAGCTCTACTGGAGTGACACAGGCCAGGGTGCTGGTGGTGCTGTGGACAGAGTGGTCCTAAGGGAGGTGAGAGGCAAGGTCGGATTCTGGTGTGCTTTGAAGTTATCCAGTGAACGGGGAAGCCAGAGAGAAGCCGCTAAGAGCAGCCCTGGGGCCTCTGGACTCCCAGCTGGAGAGCGCGAGGCACTGTCACTGAGATGGGAGGCCCAGGGAGGGGGAGTGGGGACAACCGCAGGAGCAGTGTGTGTGTGTGTGTGTTATTGTTGTTGTCTAGCACCTTAACACAATAAGGAAGCCGCCTACCCTGACCCTCACGTAAGGTAAACTTACTCCTCCACCACAAACTGGTCACACTACCAAGAGCAACGCACAGATTCAGTGCAACCCATCAAGGTACCAAAGATGTGCACAGAACTGAAAAAACAGTCCTGAAATTCATGTGGGAGAATAAGAGACCCCAAACAGTCAAGCAGCCGTAGTAACAAAACAGCGTGGAATTGGCGTTCAACCAGACGTGAAGACCAGCAGAACAGAACAGAAGGCACAGAGACAGACCCGTATAGCAACAGCCGTCTGACACTTGACCAAGGTGCCAAATGTAGTGTTGTGACTTCCTGAAACACTCCTTTCTTTGAAAGTGTTGAAATGTACATTTGGACATATCCTGTGGTTTCTCCTGCACTGGGTCCCCAGCGTCTGGACTGTCTCATTTTGTATGTACAAGCATTGCTCTTGCCTTCTGCATCCAAAAGAGAAATCTAACTCGGGTCTGCAGAGGACAGAGAGCTGGTCAGCTGGAGGAAGGCCCCCTCCTTGGGCCGTGGATGGACCCTGGGCTTGCTCCTTCTGCTCTGTTTGATGCTTGTTTGTGGCTGTTGTTAACAGCTGGCCATGGAAGAAGGAAGATGAAGGGATCTGACGGCCCAGGAAATCGTTCACAAGTGCAGAGACAAACAGCCCAGTTCTGTGGAAACCATGACCAGGGACGCACTTCCCCTCGGACACAGGGAGCCATGGAGCGTGGGCAGGGGACAGCAGAATGGCCACATCACAGGGAGCCACTCACCAGGGAGTGGGGGCGGCCGGGGTTCTGTCACAGGTGGGCACACCAATGCCACCGATGCGTGACTCGCACTGGCGCCGTGTCAGTGACGAGGCTCCTAGCCCTTGGCGGTGCTGTGTCTTCCAGTCTCCCTTGTTCCCTCGGCTGGCGATTTAAGGTGGTCTGTTTAAGTGTTCCGACACCCAGTCAGGGTGCTGTGAGTGAGGGCACAGCAGCAGCCAGCTGCAGGCGTAGGCACAGGTGGCCACGGGAAGCAGGGGCAGTCTAGGCCAGGAGGCCACGCTGGGTGTGCAGCAATGAAGACACCCTGGACCTTGGCTCCTGGTTCCTAGCACAGAGCTCCCCATGCCTTGGAATTCCTGAGGGGTAGAGCTGTCCCTTTGTCATCTGTACAACCACACCTAAGGTCATGGTAATGGGTGACTAGAAAGACCAGAGCTCTGAGGAGGGAGAGCCAGCCCTGGCCCATACCCTCAGGAATTCTCGTAGACCCGGAGGGTGCCAGCAGAGCCCCCGGTGCATGGAGCTGAGTGTGTGGAGGACCACTGAGTGCCAGTGTCCCCCCACCCTCCTGTGCACCCCCTTCCTCTGGCTGTGTCCGAGCTGGTCCTCTACAAAGAGACAGTGCATGGCAGGGTTTCCTGCATTAGGCAGGTTGTTCTAGCACATTCCCAGGCCCGGGCGGGAGCCGAGGGAGCCCAGGTGCACAGGCAGTTGGTCAGGAGCGGGGTGGTCCCTTGGCCTGCAGCTGGTATCTCAGTGGGGCACCCTGTGGGTCTGAGCCTGCCCCGTGGGGTGTAAACTCACTCCTGACAGTGTGAGAGCTAAGCTGAACCTTTGACTTCCAGCTGACAGTGGAGAGCTATCGGGGAACCCATGCATCTGTCATCAGGAGGAAGATGCCCGCGCGTGATCAGCAGGCAGCCCTGCATGTGGGAGGGCCGGTGAGCCCCGAGGACAGAGCTCCAGGTGAGCCTCGCCACTCAGGCCAGCAAAGCCATGACCAGAGGCGCACACTGCAGCCTAAATGACCACAGAAAATTCAAGGCCCCCCCCCCGACTCCTGGAGGGAGATAAATATCAATTATATACTCCTATTACATAATTTATATTCACCCATCCAACAAATATCTATTGAAGTTTACTATGGACCAAGGACTGTTCTAGGTGATTTTTATGTTATATTTCTTATAAAAAAAGAAGTCAGGAGCACATTTTGGGGTAACATGTACAGTGATACCTACTTCTACATGACTTCTAAGAGAAAAGTATTGAAATTTGGGCATTTTTAGGGGAACATTTCATACACAGCATTTTAAACATCCATGTGGTAGCTGAGCACTTACCACATGTCAGGGGGTCTGTATGCATCTCCTTATCTAATCCTAACAACTATTTTTATCCCTAACCAAAGGATGAAAAATGAAGTTTTAGAAGTATTAAGTGACTTACAAAGTATGCTTTGACCTAGGTGGTCTGACTCAAGGAACCCCTCTTAGCCCCTGCATGACTTAGGGGGGCGGGTCCTGGGCAGAGTGGAGGCCCACTTCCCTGGAATAAATGGAACTTGAGCTGCCAGGTATGGAAAGGCGGGTGTCAGTGTCCCAAGCCACCCAAGAACAGGGACTTCACCGTCTGCTCATGAACCACTGAACAAGGAAGGAAAGACCTCCGCTACAGAGAGATGGAATCAGTCCTGCACTAGAGCCCTTCTTCATCGTCTTGAGTTAAACGTGGTGGGGACCCTGTCCCTGACGGGAGGTACTCTTGTTCTTCTGGGGATACCTGCCAATGCACTGTGTGGACTCAGAGACAGTAACAGATGGCCAAACCAGCCTCCAGCAAGCACCTCCCGTGTCCTTACACACCAACAGGAAGAGCAGGTAAGTCCTTACTAGACGCCTTAGGAGTCCCCTTCTGTCTGGGCCACCATGAGGAAACAGCAGAGACTGGGTGGTCCACACCAGGAGGTGGCTCCTTGCTGATTCCCAGAGTGGGGTGCCGGCGGGTAGCTTTCTGAAGCCTCTCCTCTTGGTCTGCAGACATCTGCCAGCCTGCCCCGTGCTGGAGGGAGGGCAGCAGGCCCCTGGGCCTCCCTAGCTCCACACGCAGCCCCTGGGGCTAGAAGTCCCACATATGAATCAGGGTGGCACAATTCAGGCCATAGAAATAGGAGACACAACACTTCCGATTTTAATCCCGAACCAACAGGGCAGATTCGTAAAGTGTGCTCCAGCCGCATCTGCTGAGGATGCAGTTAAGAGGAGTGGACGGCGGCCTAGAGGTGAGGAGCAGGAAGGCCTCTCCAGAGAGGGGAGGGCTCTGCATCCTGGAGGCAGGCCAGCGGGAGGGTCAACACTGGTCCTCATGTCCCGCGACAGCACGGCTTCCTTCAGGGTGATCTGAGGTCAGCCACGCATTGATCACAGATGCTGTGGGCAGTTCTTTATCTCTCAGCTTTTGTGTTCATTTGCAAATATCCATAATACAAAAGTTTTTATGAAGAATAAACTAAATATTGGGGGGGAGTGGGAAAGCCCCATTCTGAGGGGGAGATGGTCAGAACACCTCTGGGAACTGGCTCCAAGAACCAAGTCTGGGGACACAAGGCTACTGTGTCCCCAAGAACTGTGGAGAGCCCAGGACAGTGCCCTGCTCTCGGGATGATGACAGGGACACTAAGGGTAAATGAGACTCCTGTGTCGGGGCAAAGGACTTCACAGCTCAGAGAATCCATGTTTGTGGACAAGCTGGGGTGACTAGTCACACCACAGTCCCACAGCGAGGCACAAAGAGAGCCAGAGAGCCAGGTACTTGCAGTGTCCTGGGTGGCCCACAGGAGAGGAGCTCCCACCCAGGGGAGTGAACCTGTCTACTCAAGGGCACAGGGACCCAGTCTTCCAAGTGTCAGCCACTGTGCCCTGAAGTACAGAAGCAGGGATCACTTCTTCTTTAAAGATGTTGGTTTATAAATACCTTTAAAGACAGTTCAGAGCAAAGATAGCCAGTACCTGTGCTCGGAAGACGGACACAAGTGCGAGAGACCCGAGAACTGTCTTACTGGCACCTGTGGAGGAGTGGGCACGGGGAGGGAGACAGCCCCGGGGAGCCTTGGTGGGTAAGTTCAGAAGAAAGCCAGCTGCAGATGGAGCCTTCCAGAAACAGACGCAGAGGAACATCAACCTCAAAATAACCACTGCCAAAGAAACAGCATTCATCTCTGCCTGCAGAGGAAGATGCTCTCAAACTGAGAAACTCACAAGACACCCTCTTCAAACCCACACAGAAACAGCATCTCCACCCAGGAAAACGTGATACCTCAAATCATTATAAATGACATAAAAAACAACTATGAGAAGACATGATATATAAGAATCAAGATTCCAGTGAATGAAAAATATTCTCTAAGACATCAAACATGAAGCAAAAGAAAGCTACAGTGAAACTCTCACTCCTGAGCAGTCAAGGTCTCCAGATAAGCACTAAACATAAAGGAGCCTCTCAAATCATCAAAAAGCAAAAAGCAAAACTCCAAGTGAATTATGCAAAAGCAACAAAATAAAAAAATAGACCAGTGGGAATATATAAATCTGAAACTCGACTGTAACAATGAAACAAACAGCACAGTAAAGAGACAACCTACAGAACAGGAGGAAATGTTTGCAAACTTACATCTGGAAAGGAGTTAACACCCCAAATATATAAAGAACTCAAACAACTTAATAGCAGGAAAACAATTAACCCCATTAAAACATGTTGGCAGAGACCTGAACAGACATTGCTTAAAAGAAGACATACAAATAAATGGCCATCAGGTAAATAAGAAAAAAGGGGGCTTGACCTCACCAGCCTTCAGGGAAATGCAAATCAAAACCCTAGGAGAAACCACCTTCCTTAAGAGAATGGCTGCTACCCAAGACCCAAAGCAGCAGATAGGATCCTTACTCTGTTGGTGGGTGAGAATCAGCACAGCTAGAAGTCAGCTCAGAGCCGCCTCGGGAAGCTGAAAGTGGAGGGGTCTCCTGATTCAGCTACACAGCAGGGACCTCAGGGTACACATCAGCATGCCAAAGAGACTCCCGGGCTCCCATGTTGTCCTGGCACAGCACACGGCAGCCCAGCATAGAGCCCACCACGGGCTCACCATGGACGTGTGGCCAATGGACATGGGGCCCCCCACAGCAGGGAACACACCTCGGCCACGAGGGATGAACCCTGCTTAAGCCAAGAGTGCAAGCGGGTGTAACTCGACTACTTGACAGGCAAGATTTCATCGCGGTTTCAAAGCAAACCCCGGATCTGTCAAGAACGAAAGAGACACCCCAACAAACTTATTCAGACCAGCTAAACATCGGACTGGGCTGAGGCACTCCCAACAAACGCCAAGAAGAAGCAGGGCCAGGCCGGTACGGCAGAACCCAGGTGCGCACACTCAGTGAGACAGGCGAACCCCGAAGCTAACTGGAAACGACACCCTGATGAGTCACCATGTCCCGGGCCAGGAACTCCGAGGCCTCAGAAAACACTGAGTCAGAAAACACGCACTTAGTTTCGATTACAAAATAAGTCTTAGATTTCATCTTGCTCCGCTGCTTCCGTAATAAGCAGGTAACATATCAAGAAGGAATGCAGAGCCTATGGAGTCACTCTTTTTTCTTGATGCTCTTTTAAAACTCCAAGAAATGAATGTTGTAGACCATTCTTAACCCACCAGGGCAAAGAGGGTTGGAGAGGAGACGGCAGTGGAGGAGAGTTTTTAAACCAGCTTTTAGAAGAAGAAAAGCAGAAGTGGGATTGACTTGGTGAAGCAGAGGAAGTTAAACCGAGCTGAGAGAACCGCCGGGCAGGAAGGACAGGTTGCCCTGAAAGTGTGAGAGGGAGCCGCCGGGCCTCCTGGGCTGGGGTCTGCCCAGCCCACCAACACGCCCCGGCTCACACAACCCAGGAAAACACAGAAGCAAAGGTGGGAGCACGTTGCCCTGCGCAGACACAGTGCTGTCCATGTCTGGGAAAGGAAGTGCAGTCAAGCACCAGCCCCCGAGCTGGAGAGTCTCCGAGAGCTGAGGTCGCGGAGCGGAAGGAAAGAGGAGCCAAGGTGCAGACCGTCAGGCTCCAATTCTGGAGCATCGACCTCCTGAGACCTCCTCTCACGTGACCCCACAGCCAGGTGTACACGGCCAGACGCTGAGCCTGTCGGGAAGCAGAAACGGACAGGGCCCCGGGGGAGGACTGGCTGGGAGCAGGGGCCGCACAGACTGTACGCAGCCAGCTGCACTGGCCAGCTGGGCTCCTCCCGTTTGCTGTAAGTACCCACGGTCAGTCCTGTGTCTCCAGGACCAGAAACTGCAGAAACAGAACAGCCAAAGATCAGACGTTCTGAGAGGGTCAAGAAAGTTCTAGGCAAACAAAGCTACAGTGCAGGCCACAGGGTAAGAAGCCAGGCCAGAGAGGGCAGAGCCGGACCCAGAAAGTGAGGCTGTTAGGAAAAAAAGTGACTGTTGAGATGGGACGGGCCAGACAATTCCACAGACAGCGCATTTGATGTGGTGACACAGCACCCAGGAAGCAGTGACTGGAGTCACGACTTTCACCTTCAGAGGGAGAGACATTCACTGCTAGGAAGAGGTCTGACCAGAGGAAGTTCTGCGCTCAACAGTGAGTGATGTTGGAGCGATGGTCCTCCCCAGAGGGAGGAAGCCTGGTGCTCCGTCCTGCTGGGAAAGGCAGGGACCTGCATCTGGAAAGCCTCCAGCTTTCAATACGTCCACCAAGAGGAAGCTTTAGGATTTACCCCAAGGAACCAAATGTACACGGGCCCAAAGATGTAATGTGCGCACGTTTGTTGGCGTATCAGAATAGTAAGAGTAATAGTAAGGGAACGCAACCTGAGACTGCTAGACGACTGAATACCATACAATATTTACTCAAGAAAATATTCACAATGCTCCTACTTCTAAAAACTGCTTAAAAATGGGACTACTGTATTATTTTTAAAGACAACAGAAAGAGAGACAGAGACCCGAAAAATTCTCTCAGTAATATTGGGAGGTAGGATTAAACTGGAGTTGTATTTTCTTTTTTCTTGTCTACTTTGCAAACCCCAAAGCCTTCTGTATATATGCACTAGCTCTTAAAGCTGCCACAAACAGAAGGAACAGACCCTTCTAAATCCATCATTAGAAAATAAAAACTGAGAGGGAGCCGCTGAGCCTCCTGGGCTGGGGTCTGCCCAGCCCACCAACATGCCCATAATTAGAAAATAAAAACTACGTTCAAGAGAGAAAGGCAAGAGGATAGGAAGACGGCAAGGTCCCGGGGTAATCTGGGATGGTGGGAGCAGCGCTCTGCATAACCTAGGGCCCAGCGCAGGTGAGTGGCCACTCACCTGTCCTCCCAGCCAGTATCTTGACCAACTTGCCACTCCCTGTGGTTCCTACCAGAGCAGCCGCCTGACCCACAGGTCAGACATGGAAGCAAGCGTGAGCCACTTTCTGAGGTTTGTTTTCTTAGCTTGCAACCTCCTGTAGATCTAGACCTAAGTGTGCAAGGGCTTTCCCAGCTCTGTGGAACCGGGCACCACTGGGAGGGTCACACTCAGGGTCACCACAGGGGGGACCGAGGGTGGACACCCATCCGTGTTTTGTTGCTGATGTGCATATTTAACGTCCTGTCTGTGATCAGGGCTCAGCCAACTGCTGGGCCACAAAATAATGACATCGTGACACAGCACAGAGAAAAGGACATGAAGGAAGGAAACCACCAAGTGGTCTGAACCTTAAAATGAATTTTACTTTGTGTTTTAATCTGCTAGCATTCTCTGTGACAATTTAAAATACCAATCTGGTGATGAAAGGGAAGAAAGGAACCTTCATGTAAGAACAAGGCACATGACCGGGTCTGGAGGAGGGAGAGTCTCCAGCAGAAATATTTCCCAGATGTGACGTGGAAAGAGCTGCTGTCATGCAGCTGGCTTGGAAAATGGGGCGATGCGGGTTTAAGAAATTACAGTCCTTTCTAACAAAGCAGAATATTCAGAATATGGGGCAATGAGTAGAGTCTTATGTTCATGTAGAAAAAACTAAAAAGTGATGCTAATTCCTACAAGTGAGGAATGAAAATGTATTTCAAACAGACTCCCAACATGCCCACCTCCTCCCTGAGAGCCCACATCTGAGCAGACACACATGCTGAAGGCACACGCGAGTTAGACCACACATCCAGGGGAAGCCAGCAGACACGAAGAGCCCAGGTCACCGAGATTACATTCGAAATTTCGATTTATGTGAAGGAGTAAAAGAGAAAAGATCCCCACCAAAAGCAGATTGGATTTCCCAAACTTGCATGTCCCCGCTCTTTGCTCTGTTGGTGTATTCGGGTGACTTCCTGTCAGAGAGGCTGAGGGAGCTCTGAGCTTGGTGTTTCCACGGTGCCCTGGAGGTGGGAATTTCGCCCTGGAATTCTGCAAAGGCAGCCTCTTCCACCTGGTAGTCGGCTCTGCACCTTCTCGAGCCACAGAAGCTGAGCCTGGCCCCAAGGCAGCATGTGGGTGACGGCCAAGCTCACCCAGGCTGGGGAGAGCATCAGCACTCCCCAGGGCCTTCTGCAGAAGGGAAGCCTCATGCCAGCTACACCCACAGCGACCCCACCCCTCGGGGAAGCTGCATGCCCCCCAGGAAGCCCACAGTCCAGCCTGCAGGTGCAGCAAGTGACCACAGGGACAGCAGTGGTCTCTCCAGGTAGGTGGCAGGTCCTGGGGAAATTCTGATTGGTGCTCTTTTCTACAGTGACCCCCAAATGCCGCCTGGGCCAGAAACAAGCTCTACCAGTGATGTGGCTCTGCACCCCAGAGCTGGACACACGCGGGTTGTTAAAGATGGGAACACAAGGATCTCCACAGGGCCCTGACCTGCTGGGGCCTTGTGTGGAAGCTGAGCCTCAGATGGTGCCCTGGTGCCATCTGCCTGAGAGTGACTGCCACCTGGAAGCAGGGGTTCCCCATGCCCTTGTTGTGGATCTCTGCATCAGTCACCCACAGAAAGATCATTTCCCTTCACACGCTGCACGTGGACACAGCTGAGAGGCTACTTTCTTAGTGTGGAAAGAGAAGGAGTTTAGTTAGGCTGACCTCCAGAAGCCCAATGTGACTTTACTAATTGGAAGAAGTACTTTCTGAAAAAGTGACAAATTTTAATTGCAAGCAAATAAATTAGTAAATTTCATGAAAAATCAGGCTGATCTATGTGTCATTAACTAGATTTATTCAGCTCTTTAAAATAGATTTCTTTTTGACCAAACAAACACCAATAAAATTATTTTCTCTGTGACGTAGGCAGGAACTATGTACAAGGCCCCTTACTCTGCCTTTCGGGGACAGTTTAATTCCTGGTCGGGTAAGATGGGGATTAACCATAAAGAGGGCCAAAGAAGTGTAAAACTGCTGGTGATATCAATAAAGAGTCCAGTGTCACTGTCACTTACCACATGAACCTCTGCCTGTCACCCCATAAATGTCCTCACACTTCTTTTCCATTTATGAGCAAAAAAAAAAGGAGTTTCCAGGGACTTTGAATAGGCAGCAGCTGCATGGCTGCTGGTTGCTGCACCTGGGAGGGGGTGTGCTGTCCCGGGAGCACAAGGCCCTGCTGTGAAGGTGTGAATGTGATGACAGTGTGCTCCTCCTGGTTCTGAAACCCAGGGTGCTCTGCCAGAGGCCAGGAACAGCCAGACCAATGGTGGGTGTCCCTATGCTGGGCCCTGGGGGGAGGACTGGAGGGGGAGCAGGTGTGAGCCAGGTGAAGGGCGCCTGGAGGCAGACATTCCATCCCTACAGCTGAAGCACCACTCCACCTCAGTGAGGGCTTGAGGACATGGGGGGAGGACAGAGCAGCCCCCGCCCTGTGGAAACAGCGCCTGCCTCCTCCCCCCTCCTCCCCTCCCCCTCCTCCCTCCTCCTCTGCCTGCCTCCTCCCCCCCTCGTCTCCCCTCCCCCTCCCCTCTCCTCCCCCCTTCTCTCCTCCTCCCTCCCCCCTCCTCCCCCCTCCCTCCTCCCCCTCCCCTCCCCCCTCCCCCCTCCTCCCTCCTTTGCTCCTTCTGTTCTCCCTTTGCTTTTAATGTCCCTCCTGCCCCAGAGGTCCCCATTGTCTCTCACTGTCACCTCCTCCTGTGGGGTACATTCACACTGCATCTCACAGCAGGTCCCACAGCTGCGCTCTGGCCCTGCTCCCTGAGACCCGCTGAGCAGGCAGGGCAGGTGCACTCTGCACTGTCACAGGGGAGAGAGCAGCAGGTGGTGAGGGACATGCCTGCACTTAGGGGCCACAGCCCTAGCTGAAGTGCCGAATGTCAGTGGTTGAGGGGGAGGAAATCAGTTCCCTCACAGTGCCCGGGGCTCCTGGCCACCCCCTGGCCAACCCATTTAAACATTGTTGCTATTGTCAGTCTTTGTTCAAAATTCCTGCAGGCTGCCTTGTCCACAGTCTGGACCTTCTTCCTGGAGTACACGTGGGCCACTTTCCAGGAGTCTTCACATGGAACCAGACCTGAGAGTGCCCTTACACCCACGGCCTGAGAACCCTTGTGTGAGAAAGGCTGATTTAGAACATGGGTCTTGCTGGACGCTGTGTCACACGACAGGAATCCCAGCTCGGGAGGCTGAGGCAGGAGGATCACAAGTTCAAGGCCAGCCTCAGCAACTTAGCTAGGCCCTAAGCAAGTTAGTGAGACCCTGTCTCAAAATTAAAGAATAAATAAAAAGGGCTGAGGATTGACTTGGTGGTTTAGAACCCCTGGGTTCAATTCCTGATTACCCCTGCCCCCCCCTCCAAAAAAAAAAAAACAAGAGTCTTGGTATTTCCTGGACTATTTTTAACTTGAAAGGGCAAGCTGCCTGCTCTGGTGCTTAGGCACATACTCTGCTCTGCACTTCTGAGTGCCAGTGCATGGGGAGAGGGTCCGGCCTCCTCGACCTTCAGCAGGCAGCTGCGGCACTCAGAGGTGCCAAGTGAGGTGCAGAGGACAGCTCTCTAGGCCAGCAACAGGGCGAGGCTTGAGGGCAAGGTTGCCTACTGCCTGCACAAGCAGAGTGGCTGAGGAAGGCAATGCTTGATGAGCACTTAGAAACCTTCATCCTATACCTGAGCTAAGGACCAGACCAACAGGAGGACAGACACAGCTACTCCTTCATCTGATTGGTGAATAGAGTTGTTTCCTTGGAGAAATTTACACCGTTGAAGAGGAATCACCGCAAGTACCAAAGCTCATCAATGAAAATTGACAAATACTTTAAAAATCAAGGACTTGCATAGCCCACCATGCTTCTCATCCTTGGATGGCAATGAAAGAAAACAGGCCACCAGTCCAACAACGGCCACCATCTGCTTCCTAGCTACTTCCCCAGGCCCACCCCCTGTGTGCTAAGAGAACCAGAACTTTGTCAGCAAGCAGAGCCGTTCTGATTAGACCACTGCGTTACGGGCGCATGATCTCCAAGTGAAACGCACGATTACCTCTCAGAATCCTCAGGCTGGTGGGTGAGCATGACCAGCTTCTTGTCTTGGTTCTCGTCTCTGCTTACAGGCCGTCCACATGGAGTCTAAAAGAAAAAAGATACCGAGGACGTGAGGCTCAGACGTGCCCCAGGACAGACGCGGGGCAGTCGCGGGGAGCGAGCCACCTGCTTGGAGCTTTCCATGCAGGGCCATGTTTTTATTCTCCTCCTGAAGAGGACCACCGCAGATTCGCCTTCTGCCTGGTTTCAATCAAGGACCAAACACTGAGAATAAACACAGACGGTCTTTCAGCTGGGGAAGAGTCTGTGACAGGGAGAGATTGACCAGGGTCAACCAGAGGAGAGCTGGGCCCGCAGTGTGCAGGACATGAACTGTGACGGCTGTCAGAGCGACGTCTGAGGGGAGTCAGCCGGGTCCAGCAGAGCTCAGCAGGTGTGCCCAACCACCAGGTGTGCCCAACCACCAACTGCACCCCGAGCGCAGCTTTTCCCCAAGGGGCGTTAGCAATCCTCTCCATGGTTCAAGATAACAGGAGAGCTGGGCACGTGACCAAGAAAAGAAAAACTGGGAGAAAACCATGCTCAGACCCAGAGTCTTCGATTTCCTTTTTTCCTATTTAATATGAATGGAGACTTAAACACCAAACTGTGGTCCAGCATTACACAGTCGGCGTTGTACCTCAGAGGGTTCACAGTGGGATCTTGAGGTGCAAGAATTTGAAGATTTGTATATGTTTTAGAAGCCAATTCCTGCAGGCAGTCAACACCTTCTAAGTGCATCTGGAAACGTGCAATTGCTGTGATCCATTAGAAAATCTAGGGGTCGAGTCTATGGGAGATATGCAGCCAGTTTGAGTTGTATGAGTTTCTGTTGAATAATAAGAACAACCAAAAAAAAAAGTTTGTTTGTTAAAATGCTCCAAGAAGGATCCGTCTGGGTGTCGGCCAGCTGGTGGGTGGGGGGAGGCGGCTCTCCTTCCATTCTGTTCTCAGCTGTGACAGTTGTTTAAATCATCTGTTTACCACCAGGGTAGCCAGTTTCTGCATGAAAGCGGATGCCCCCAGGACTGTAGAGCAACAGGACCACCAAGGGTGCAGGACCCCACCGGCGGTGCCTGCCTGCACTGGAAGGCAGGGACGCCTCGCACCGCCTGGCGGAGAGGGCCTTGCCATGAGGGTCTGCCTGCAACTTCTGGGAGCCGAGCTCCTGTGTGAACTAATAAAGTAGATGAGCGGTGAGTGGTCAGAGGTGTCTGTAACTAGTTCTCTGAGTCACCCAAGAATCATAGCACCACCCTTTACAAGAGAGGAGACAGGGGCCCAGGGGAGACAAAGGACCAGGAAAACCAACTGCCCAGCCCTGTGACTACTGGGCCTCGATTTCCTGCTGTCCCCTAATTAAACATGGCACAGATGAGTTTTTCAGTCTGAAATAAAGTTAGATCTATTTTAGTACCAATTTTTAAAAGTAATATATAACATCTCTACATCTCACATGAAATATATTTTACATCACACATGAAACCTGGTAAAAATATATTTTTTAGGGAATAACATTGTATCATTTAAACTCTGATGGTCATAAACAAAGTGGCATGGGGAAGGAGCTACGCAGACGGGAGGCTTCACAGTTGACCTTCTGAGGCACTGGGAACACACAGGTGCCTGTGGTCTGGGAGGAACATTCTAACACATTCTATTCTATTCTATTCTATTTCCTTTCTAAGTAGCCTTTTGATAGCTGGAATTTCACATTAATTTCTCTATCCAGGAAGCAAAAATATCATTGAGAAGTAACCAGAAGCCAGAATTCATTAGTTCTCGATTTCCATCACGAGTCTTTCCATTTCTACCACCTACAGGGGGCTTTTTCCAACTGAACAGTATAGCAAAGGGGATTATCAGAAAATGACTCTTCAATCAGAGGCCTTGTCTTTCAAATGGAAGCAAATAAATAAAACCAGGCTGAGCCTGAGGACCCGGGTCTTCTCAACACCAGGGCTTCATGTTCTTCTTTTTTTAAGAAGTCTTGTGGAATTTAACAAATTTTCTCTAGCTCTCTGAACTTCATCTCTGTTAGTTATGAGTCAAGGTGACATTAAGCCACGAGATGAGGAATTCTCTCCCCACCCTCTCACTCAGCCAAGAAGCACAGAAGCAGCCTCCTGGGAGGTCAGGAACGTCATGACCCCCGATGGTTGATGTGGGACAGGGGACAGGCTGCAGCAGGGCACCCGATCCAAGCAGCCAGGAAGTCCCGGGTCAGCGCGGCCACCTGGCTCTGGGAGCACAGCACTTACCCTCTGTTTGTCAATTTTTGGTTGCTGTGACCAAAACACCTGACAAGAGTGATTTACAGGAGGAAAAGTTTATTTGGGGCTCATGGTTCCAGAGGTGCTGGTCCACAGACAGCTGATTCCATTGCTCTGGGCCCAGGGGCCGCAGAGCATCCTGAGGGAAGGGCCCAGTGGAGGGAAGCTACTCCCCTCACAGCACAGTCAGGAAGCAGAGGGGGAAGGGGCACCCTCCCAGGACACGCCCCGGTGGTCCACCCCAGCCATGTGAGCCTGCCCGCGGTCACCACCCGGGTGGGCTGATGAGGTCACAGCTCTCAGGGTGCCATCCTCTCCCTTCAGAGCACCCTGCATTAACACGGGGGCTTCAGAGGACACCCACATCTGAGCCCTGGCACCCTCCACCGCGGCCCAGTAACTCTCCTCTAATGTAGTTCAACGTTTTGACCTGCTAAACAGACCCTAAATGGAGCAACCCAGCCAGACACAGAAGATGGTGCACGTTCATGCACAGGTGAGAAGCGCAGGGGAAGGGGAGCGGCTGCCTGGCCTCCCGTCCTTCGATGCTCCAGGTGGATGCTCTCCTGAAGGACTGCCGTTCAGGTGGTCAGCTCCTCTGCTTAATCAGGGCCAACTGCCTGCCTGCCGTGCTCTCTGTTAGTCTTCAGGTCACCAGCAACTGGCCTGCTTTGTCCTCATGTCCACGACCTCCCTCCCCTGCCTTGCAGGGCCTCTGGGAAGCCATCTTTTGCCCAGATATGCTCATGTGTGCAGTTCCCGAGCTCTGGACCACTGTGTGTATCCCCGTTTGTCGGAGGCATGACCACAGTGCCCTGCTCTATGCCAACAACCTGCCATCCACCGAATGCTGAGATCCTTCTTCTAAAGTGACTTCCAGAATCCATGCACATGTCTGAAAATGTCTAACTGATCTGATTAGAGTTTGGTGAACCCAGGAAGAAAGTCAAGCTCTGCGGCATCAGTTGGTGTAAGAAAGATCGGGGTGAAATGGTGGGGCTGGCCTCTTGTCTTTTATAAAGAATATGCTTAATAACGCCACAACCCAGACGTGCCAGCACGGCGGCGTATACCACGGGCACTTTGAACTGATGTTTTCAGGGTCTCCAGGGCTGACTAGCAGACTTTGTCTCTGACTGGAAACACTTGCCCCTGTCCTTCAATCTGGTGGTAGAAATCCCAGATATGGGATTATAAACTGCTTGTTAAGCATATTCTTTTGCACATCTACAGATGCCAAGCCGGGCCGCAGTTAACGCAGGCTCAGAAGTGGGACTGCCCAGGCCCATCCTGGCCCATCCGTCTCCTAACTGGGGAGACTGCAGGCCTTCTGTGCTGCTTCCTCTGAGATGTGGATGATAATCATACCTGTCTCATCTGACTATAATGAGTCCTAAGCATATAGTTTTAGATTATATTGTTTTATTTCTAAGTATTTTGGTGGATTATATTGTTTTATTTTTGCCCTGTTTATATCAATCAAATTTGAAAACCAAAGGATTGCTATTTTATTTACGGTTGTTTTATAATTCCGTCTTCCTGGGAAGGCAAGGGCAAACTGCGACGACTCTGAGAATCATGAGATTCATGTTAGAGCCGGGTGGCCAGCAGCATCCCCTGGGGAAAGGCACAGGCTGTCTGTCTGCCCACTTTCCTCTGTCCCCCTCCCCTGTCCACTGCTCCTTTACACAGTGAAGTCCTGTGGTGCTGAAGAAGCAGCTGTCACCTTCTATTTAACTTAACCAAGAGATGCCTTGGGGTCTTGGATGGGTTTCAGCACATCAGTGAAGATCGTAAGTAGTTTGATTGCTTAAGCAGAGATTCACACAATCCACAGAAGATCGAACAACCCAGCTTTAGGGGACAGACTTATTTAGGAAGTAAACCAGATTGTAAGAGCCTCCTGCCATTCCTGGGGACAGCTTTCTGAATCTGGGATTTCTACCACCAGATTGAAGGACAGGGACAAGTGTTTCCAGTCAGAGACAAAGTCTGCGAGTCAGCCCTGGAGACCCTGAAAGCATCATGTTCAAAGCGCCTGTGGTATACGCCGCCGTGCTGGCACGTCCGGGTTGTGGCACTGGATCCTGTGCAGGCCCATCCAAGGGGTGAAGCCACGAGGCAGAAGCCCTGAGGCTGACAGGTAGTTTATCCTGTGACACACTTCCCTCCATGGCACCCAAGGTGGAGCTCAGGATACCGACCCAGGAACTGTCCCGCTCCCGTGCCTGCTGTCACCAGTTCAAATCAAATGTTAACCAGATGGACGTATTTCAGACGGAATGCACTTGGTAACCGGCAAGCCATTATCAAAATCACCATCCCTGTGGTCTGTGTGTGTGCACGTGTGATAACTTACAAAGATTCTGTAAGAGCATATGTGAAAATGCACGTATGTAGCTTCACATTCACACACTTACATACACAAAGCCCTTATACTGATTGTTTGAAAATGATATTTCGGTATTTAAGAATACATAAAAAGCTTTCTTGTTGATCACATAAGAGAACTACTGGTAGTTAGTTATTAAAATGTTGGCTGGCGCAGTGGTGCATGCCTGTAATCCTATCAGCTGGGGAGGCTGAGGTAGGAGGATCACAAATTCAAAGCCAGCTTCAGCAACTTAGTGAGGCCCTAGGCAACTCAGCAAAACCCTGTATCTGAACACAATATAAAAAGGGCTGGGATGTGGCTCAGTGGTTAAGTACCTCTGGGTTCAATCCCCAGTACAAAAAAAAAAAAAATTTGCTAAAACTGAGACTCATGAGAAATAATACATTAGTGCCACATTGCTTTGGTGAAATTTGAAATACACATGCCCTCTTTTCCAAATGGGCATCTACCAGTTGTCTACCTGGCCTCCTGGCCCATGGTGAATCCTCTGTCAACTCTAATTTTGGTTTCTTTACAAAGGAACAAGTACTATAAGAAACAAGGCAAGTGTGGCGTGCGTGCGGCCCAGGTTCAATCCTCAGCACCACATACAAACAAAGATGTTGTGTCCACCGAAAACTAAAAAATAAATATTAAAATTCTCTCTCTCTCTCTCTTTAAGAAAGAAAGAAAGAAAGAAACAAGGCAGGTGGAAAACAAGATGCTTTTAGATGCTCAAGGCGATTTTCCAAACCTCTGTATTTGTCTCACCCACGTGCAACTTAAATTTGGTAACCACCTTTATTGGATATTTCCCAGGTATTCCAATCAGGTGCTGTAGAAACAATAATTCTTTCACCTCTTTGTACCCATACACCATCAGTTTATATGCAGTCCATTTAAATTATGTAATTACCAAAAAAAAAGTGAATTTATAAGTGGGTTGGGAGAACAAACAAACCCAGAGCTGGTAAATGTGCCACTCGACTTTTAGCAGCAGAAACCAGAGCAGGACCTGAGCCATGAGCCCGGCTGCCTGGAGTCCCGCCTGCTGTGCAGTGCAGGGGACAGAGCGCCCAGGGAGGCTGAGGGAGAGCAGCAGCCCAGGCAGGCGCTGCTGGCAGCAAGGGGGAGTGGCCTGTGGCACCCCGACAGTGAGCGTCTCTCTTGAAAGCATTAAAATCCATTTTTAACAAACACTGTGAGGAAATAAGACAATCCTTTTGGCATTTAGTTTACTTTTAGTAACTTGCATGGCTTTTGGGGATTTTTAAAGCCCATTTGTTGCCAATATGCAAATAATAACGTTTTATGATTCTTTTAAAAATCCTTGTTATTACAGGCAATAAAGAAACGGACAAAATCTCCAGCACATTTTCCTAATAACACCTTTAGCCACTCCTTATACATGAAGTGGCCAGTTTGCGTGTCCAAAAGCTTCATTCCTAGAGCTCTGTGTCTGTCATCGCATCCCTAATAAAAGAAGGGGAGTCCACCTAGAAACAGGGTGATGGACACCTCAGGTGACCATGACACTAACCCCAGTTTGCAGGTTCAAAGCTGGGACACCACTGAAGCCTTTCTGATAATTTCTACGCAAAGCAAGGCGACTGCCATTCAACAGGATGCGCCAGTCACCGAAGAGCTGGGGTCCTTATTCTCCTGCCCTGACTGCCTCCAGAGGGTAGGAGGGCCGTTCCTGGTCGGCACTGAGCCCCTTGAACCGTGGCGGGAAGGAGCTGGGAGGAATAGCTCACACGGCTTTCACTTACAGTCACGGCTCAGAGGAGATTGAAAAGGAGGATTTCTGCTTCACATCACTGGGCCAAATAAAAAGAAATACCCCAAAGAGTTATAGGTTTTTTTTTCCATTTCATATTTCTCAGAAAGGTGTCAAATCAGGGGACTTTTGACACCTATTTCCTTCTAAGACTTTGTTTTCCTTGAAACAATGAAGTTTTGGCCCCATGTTCTCTGTAGCTCAAGCCCATCGGCACCTGCATTTCTTCTTTGTGCTCAATTGACCTCTGGGCATTGGAATTGGAAATGTTCCTGAATCAGGGACCAGGAGACCATGCTTCTGTCTGTCACCAGGGATATCATCAAACCTGTGTGCCTCTGGATCCGGTCTCTATCACCATGTCTGAAATGGGAAGCATCGGACATTATAATGACCAGAGTCACTCTGCTACCTATGTGCTATGAAAATTGGTCACCCCAGGGCCATGGATGCTATGTCCTAGAGCTCGGTGAGATGTCACCCAGGACCAATTCCTACCTGGGGAAGAGGCTCTTCTTGTCCTTGGAAGGGTCTCTCATTCTGCATGTAGAAAGGCATTTATTCTGGGTCTATATCCAGTTCTTTTATGGGAAATATTCTCACATTGTGGACCTTTACTGAGGAATTTCATGGAAGTTCCCCAAGTTACAAAGTCAACCTTTTAAACATGTGTATTAGAAGCATGATTGAATTCAAAACCAAAAGATGTGGATCTCATTTTCTCTAATGATCAACAGGCAGTGGAATGAATCGGACGTCACATATGAATGACCACCAGTGAAACTCACTTCTGGAGGATCCCAGCCTTCACAATCCCAGACATCCAACCGTGCGGGAGAACCGGCCCACGGGCTCTCCTCTGAGCATCTCTCCTTGCCGGATCTCAGCGAGGAAGGACATTTAGAAGTCGACAGGCAAAGAGCCCAGGAGCCAAGCCGCAGCAGCAGGTTGTAAAAGCCGCAGACGCTGAGGCCACAGGTCTCCTTGACGAGGACCCTTGCCCCTTTCCATGCTCACCCGACCTGCGCTGCCAGGGACCCACAGCCACAGGTCTTCAGAGGAGCTGAGGACCCAAGTGTTCAGTGGGACCCACGCCCGGCGCTGTTGCCGCTCGGGGTCTTAGACTCCTCAATAGGAGCGACTGGTCTCACACTCAGTTTCTCATGTTTAAAGCCATGACACTCTGATGAGAGGCGTAGTGAGTGCAGCGGGAGAGCAGGACCCCACCCCCCGCCCCAGTGGAGGGGAGAGCACCCAGTGAGGAAAGCAGACAGCACCCACGGGAACCGCAACGGGACCGAGGGGAATGAGGGATGGGATTTCTTTTTTTAATTTTCTGGAATATAAAATTGCAATTCTGATTTTTTTAAATGGCCTCAAGAAATTGAGGAGACCCCCCCGCCCCCCGAAAATTGTTTCTTAACACAGATCCACTCTAAAGAGCTGCTCCTGCCCTTTGGGTGGAGCCCTGCAGGCCGCTCGCAGTGGGACTCTGTGGAAGCACCCTCAGCCTCTCACAGCAGGGACCCCAGGCCCGGGAGCAGTGTTGTAGGTTGGGGTCACGTCATCCCCGTCATCCCCGTCCTCCCCGTCGTCCTCGTCCTCCCCGTTGTCCCCGTCATCCCAGTATTCCCGAGCCGGATACACACAACCTACTCATGTCCATTGCTGGCTGTTAAAATCACCTTCCTTGGGAGACGATTTGGCTGTTTACACTTAAGCGACTCCTAGGAAGTTTCTTTTCCATTCTCCTTTGGGAAAAAACGACTACTTTGAATAAAACACTCCAGTAACTATATTTAGAAATGCATTGTTTAAAATGCTGTCATGCTCCCCAGGGACAGGAGGACACGGCACCTTGAAGAATACAGAACAGAGTGCTCCCTTGGAGCCCGGGGACGCTTGCCTGTCCCGACAGGATCACGGCTGGAGTCCTGTGCTGTCTGAGGACGGCAGGACCACAGCGTCATCCCCATGACTGCGTGAGTCAGCCATTCCTTAGAGAACTTCTAGAAACAACGAAGCCAGGAGGATAGCAGTCATATGGCCAGGGCTTATTAAAGCAGCTTATCTGATACGGAGACAGAGCCGACTGGTGAGGACTCTAAAGACTTCACTGGTTCCCTTAGGGTCTCCCACGCGGAGCACAGACCCTTACCTTAACTGCTGGTGCTCCCAGACGCGTCATCCATTGTACATGCTCTTTAGGAGGATAACCTGAGGCCTCTAAGGAGTGCAGTGACTGCGAGCTCTGCTGAGCCGGAAAATGAAAGTCCAGGCGCTGGGTCACTCACCGTGTGCACCCCGAGAGCCCCTCTCAGCTCTAGGGCGCGCACCTTGGGGTCCAGCCCCGAGACTTGGTCTGCTGGACTCTGAATCAAACAGTAACCGAGTGGGTTAAGTAGAAGCATGTATTTTGAAAGGTTAAGCCACCCATACACAGGGAAACCCCCTCCTTAAGAAAGTCATTCTGCTGCCAAGAGGTTATTAACATTCACCTCTCGGATACAAACACGACCTACAGATGAAAGGTTCCCAGCCTGCGGGAAACACCACAGAGGGTTCCCTCTCAGGCTGTGCTGTAATGGAAACCCGGGGCCAGGCACCTCTCGAGGCTCCGCGGGTCCAGGAAGTCCACCTGCCCACTGAGCGGAAAGTTCTCAGCCTCCAGGGCCACACACACACCCCCAGAGCAGCACCACTTACTGTAAGGGCCGTGCAGGGCACATTCTCATTTCTAGGAATGCACCTCTGTCTCCTCTTCCTTTCCTTCCCTGAGAGCGCGGCACCCGGGTCGACAGTTACCACGCCCTTTGAAGTCATCTAGAACAAGCCCCTTGCCTTTTACGAAGGAGGCGCTGCGCGTTTTCTAACTTAGAGGGGAAATTGTGCTCACGGTCCTGTTGCTGGCATGGCAGGTTAGGAAGCTCACGCACTTTTATTACCATAGGGAAGTAGTCTGTCCACTCATGGGCAGTGATGGCCCTCTCCGAGGGAGTGAAGAGGGCTTCCCCAGTGCAGGGTGCATGCCTGCTGGGCCCCGGGGCTGAGTGGGCTGGGTGTGCTGGATGGGGCAGCAGAGGCCACACAGAGGACACTGCTCGTCCCACCATGACAGGCATTGTCACTTCAGGAAGACGGTGGCAGTGTGCCTGACAATGACTGTGTCACTCCACCCCGGCTGGCACATGCTGGAACACCAGCTGGAACGCCAAGCGGTGACAAAGGGAAGCTCGCATTCTCTACATCACAAAGCCTCGTACAGACCAGTCCTGGCGGGTAAAGTCCCCCGTGCTGGTGACGTTTCTTTATGTTTTTATGTTCTTACAAAAGTTTTCAGAAAAAGGAAAAAACAAGCCGTCCATCACACAGTGCAGCTTGCACAGGCAGGAAACCCCAAACAAAATCAGAACAGAGCCCGGGGTACACCCTCCGCCCTCACCTGGATCCTTTGACACATCTGGCGCCAACATGCCATTGTGTCACCATCTCCCAAAGTGTCTCCAAGGTCTTGTAAAAAGTCTCTTTAACTAACACAAAGTAACATCTCCCTTGTTACTTTCTTTCCATGTGAGAATGACGATTTATCTTAAAGTTCCACGAGAAGGTGCCATTTCAGTGCCACACCAAAGCGGCAAGGAGGTCCGTCCTGTTCCTAGGGGCTCTCCCGCTCAGTGGCACTCCCACGGGCTGCTGCCCCCTGTTCTGCTGGGGGCACCCCTCCCACCCCGCCTGGTGGTTTAGTGAGTGACCTCACTGCTGGGTTCTCAGGCTCTGGAACCTGCACCCACACTTGTCCCACCCTTCACCGTGGGATGGTCCCATGGGAGGCACAGGACAAGGGGCCTCAGTGCCCCCTGGAACTCCTCAGAGTTCCAGTAGTAGTGTCCCCATCCTGTCGTAAGATGTGCTCTGCGATGGACAGACCTCCTTGTCGCCACTCCCCACTGCCTTGCCAGGAGCGAGCTGGACGTGCCAGACGCTGCCACCATGAAATGAGGACACTGTGGTCCGGGGTCACTGCACCTTCTCCTCACACGTCCAAGCCCCTGAGCAGCATCCAGGGCTGAGGGGCCACGGGCCAGCCACGGGACCCACCAGTCCACAAAAGAGCATCTGTCTAGTGACTTGCCTTCAGGGACAAGTCCAAAACAGTAATAAAACGTGAAGACCAGGCCTCAAGGGGAAGATGGGGGCCAAGTCAGAGGAGCAGGGTGAGAGAGGAGAGAAGGAGACTGGCCAGGCGAGACCAGGTCTTTCAGAGCCAAGCCTGGGAAGATGGCTGCTCTGCTCTCGGTCCTACGAGGGACTAGCAGGTCCAGCAAGGGCACTTCCCAGGCTCTCAGCTCAGGAGAGGACAGCCCCCACCTGTCACGTGAGCTGACAGTCACATGCCCTGGGACGCCAGGGCGAAGGCTGCCACCGGTGCGGGGACAGGCAGAGGGCAGCACCTCTGCCCTGGGGGGTCCGGGTTCCCCTCTCTCCCTCCAGGCACATCCTCCATCTCCTGTCCTCTCCTCTCCCAATGTCCAGACTTCAAATCCCAGCAAGAAATGGAAGCGCATGGACACAGAAAGCTAGCGCGGCGAGAGCTCCATCTCCAGGGCTTCCTGCCGTGAGGTCTCCTAGCGTGGGGTAGAGCGGAGCTCTCGCGGGAAGCCAGATCCAGGCAGGCCACCTCCCTGTGACATGGGCGCAGCTCCTCAGCTGTCCAGCTTGGGTCTGGTTTGCGGCGAGAGCTCAGTGGGCCTCTGGCCGTGGCTGTGGTGAGGGATGCAGACCAGAGCTCATTCCCAGACATTGGCAGGACAACACCTTCCGTGGTCCTAAGGGCAGAGACGGACATCAGGCCCCAGGGGCAAGGCGGCGGGGAGCTTGGCCTCTGTCTCCTGGCCAGCTCCCAGCAGAGGAGCTGAGGGGAAATGTGGACCCTGATCCTAGGAAGAAGGGCTTTTTTCTCTCAAATTCCAGCTCCTATAATTAGAAGTAGGTGTATCCAAGTCCAAGAGTTAATATCAATGATTTATTATTTAAATAAAAGGGCAGTTCAGTGTGTGTTTTGGGGTCACTCCCCCATCACAGTGTGTGTGTGCATGTGTGTGTTTCACACCAGCACAGACGGCAAAGGCCTAAAGAGCACGTGGTGTCAACCATTATGACCTCACAGCTCTGTTCTCGGGAACCAATTTTTCTCTGCAGGCAGCTGGGTCTTGCCAAGGATGGGGACGGGAGACGAGCACACAATTCCACATGAGATGGAAAGGCAGAGATGAGCCAGGGACATAGGTGATTCAGAACACAGCTGCTTGGGACCAAGTCCAGTTCCCACTGCAAGCCAGCCTCAAAGACAGCGTGACTTTCAAAGGTGGTCCTAGGTGTGGACAGAGCGGGGGAGTCCCTGAGAAGTGGACACACAGCCTCTGACTCCTGTGCTCACCACAACTGGCGCTTTCCTGTTTCCAGGGGACATCAAAGACTTCCCCATCCATGGGGAACCACACTGTCTCCAACATCAAGTGCGCCTTTGATCCTCCTGGCTCGTGTGGAATACCACCCAGGAGCACTGACTGGAAATCGGGCCTCTGGACCAGATCCGCTGTGATGGCCTTCTGTCCTCCACTCTGAGACGGAGCTTGGGAAGACAGCCTGACACATCTTAGTGGAGGGGATCTTTTCCCCTTAGCAGTCTTCTTGTTTTCAGCTGGAAACCCATAGGTGAAAACAACTTCTGAGGCTGAGCTGTGGCCTCCACCTCTGAGGACCCCTGTTGGCAGTCACGGTTCTCAGAAGGTCTTCAGATGATGACCTGTGGTGCGTTGGGGTCTGTGCACTCGGGGATAACAGGGGCTTTAGAACTGCAAGAGCGGCCACTAACAGCATCAGGTCTGTGGACACTTCAAGGGAAAGCGGTCACTCAGCTGAAGATCAGGAGAGGGCCTCACTGTTTTGTCCCAGAGGACTCAGAAGATGACAGGGCAAAGGTGAAATTCAACCTCCAGCACCATCAAGCTCACAAAATAATTCAAAGCCTGGCTTGAAAATGATCTCATGCACCAAGGAGAGAAGTCTATTTCTAGAAGTTTAATGTGAACCAGGCATCCCTCTACAGGGACACTTGATCTAACGGCCACATGACGTATCAGGTTTATTTAACCCCTTGATGCCCGAGTCCTTGATTTAAACATGAGACTGGGCCATACATGCCTAGGTAGACCTTTCAGGTCAGAAGGTCTGGGTCACAGATAGAGGACAGCACAAGTTTTCCCTGGAAAAATGGACACACAGCCTCTGGTTTTAGCATGAATTTAATTATCTTTTTTAAGGTCCCTGTGTGGTTGGGAAAAAAAATATACCCAAAATATGACTTTTACATTATTCTACATTATATCCACTCTGGGTTGATTCTACTTGTGGAATTACATTACCTCTTTCATATATTAAACCAAAATGTCAAAGACCCAGAAGAGTTGAACTCCCAGCACAATGAAGAAACTAGATACCTGAATGCACAATTTACTGCCAAAGAATCATCAGACCCTGGGAAAAACAATGTCCCTGTGTACTTCACCATGTGTAAGAATGTCCAAGGAAGCTCTTGGCCTCTAATGAAATGTCCTCTATTTTACAAAGATGCTTAAGTTTGCAGAAAGTCAAAAGTAGTCAAAGATCTGAAATAATAATATTTTTTTTTAAATTTTAAAATAAAAAAAAATGTCAAACGTACAAAACTATATCATATGGAGAGAAAAATGGAGAAATGTCTTCTTCATTTCCAAGCCTGACAACTATTCTCAGGAAATTTGGTCTACACATAGAACTGGTAACAGACAAGGCATAATATTTTATTACTGGATGAGGCTGGTGAGTAGCACTCTTGGCAATAATGTATCTCACTGTGTGCGGCTAAGGATATTTCCTGCAATCCAACTATTCAGAGCTTCTCCATCTACTACAAGGGCAAGAGAATTAAATGCCACAAATTCAAGAAGATTTCCAGATCGTTCTCTCTGGTTTTTAAAACTGTGGAGATATAAATATATAATCTCAATCATACTATGGGCAGAGTCAATTACTGGGCCAAGTCAATTGCTGAAGTCAAGTTTAAAGTAAAGTCAGCCCCTCTAATTTAATAACATTTCATTGTTGTGTGGTGATTAAACCACAAATCGGAGAGACTCACATATGAATTTGATGATGATAATTGAGAATAATGATTACCAATGATTTCTGATCATCTGTTATGTGCCAGGTGCTTTTTATCCCCCTGCTCCTCTAGTTAGGTGTCTGGACAAGAGTACTGGTATCGTCAGAGACTTAGAAGTGCAGAACCTCAGGCCCAACCCAGACTTCCTGAGTGAACGAGATCCCCAGGGATAGGGCTGGAACTCATTGGTGGACATTAGGGTTTGAAGAACATCACATTAGCTTACTTATTCTTCACAGTAACGGGCAAGAAGGTACCACCCTACCCCTGGTGCTGATGAGGAAATAAAGCCCAGGCAGTGGAGATCCATGTGCAAAGTGCCTGTCAACAGGAGCACCCAGTGCTGACCAGGGTCAGTGCAGACCAGAACCAGGGAGAAGTGCCCAATGCTGGTCCTGCAAGGAGAGAATGCCCACCGGGGTTGCCTCGCTCAGCCAGGGTCTCCTTAGTAGGGCTTGAGCCGTAGCTGTGAGTCCCAGAAGCCCACACATTGCTGTCTCCCATGCAGTGGCATTGTGACTGTCACGTGAGCAAACTAAGGCTTTCCAAGGTCAGCTGGGATGAGAGGTAGGCCACAGGTACACTGCTACCGGTTTCCCCTGGCCCATGTGCTCCTCATGTGCTAAGCCCTTCTGCCCGACCTGCGTGTGCTCAGGCCCCAGGGAGCCAAAGCAGTGCGGTGTCTCAGAGCAAGGCCCCGTCCCCGGGACAGGTGGAACCTGACGTGCCAGGTGCTGGGTCAATTACCTGCGGGTCCCTGGGCGAATGCAGTGGTTCGGTCGGTGAGTGAGAATCTCGCAGTGAGCCATCATGGAGGACTTCTGCTGAGATACACAGCCCTCTGTAAGGTGCCGTCGACCTGCGTTGTGCTGGCCAAGTCCTAGCCACAGCCCAGGAGGGAGCCTGGCCTCCTCCGTCCCTGGCCAGAACCATCCGTCTCGGGAGCCTTGGCCGGATTTAGCGGGTTCCATCTTCCCCTCCCAGGGTCTGGAAAAGGACTGCACCACGGCCGTGACCACAGGGAGAGCGAAAGACTTGATGTGGCTGCTGGATGTCCCTTTCCCACACAGCCATGCAAATGCAGAGCTCTGCCCAAAGCCCAGTGTGGGAGCACAGAGAGGTGGGCTTCCTGTTCTCTGGCACCTCTGACTGGAGCACTGTACACAGACAGACACGCGCGTGAGTTGGCAGCTTGATGAGTTTTCAAAAACTGAAGAGACCCACACTTGATCCAGAGGCAGAGCCTGTCCTGGGACGTGGCTTCTCGTTGTCCACCCAGCAGGCTCTGGGAATCACCGGGCTGAGGAACCTGGGGTTTGTGGCCACACAGCAAAGGCGAGTGGGTGTGACCGGTGGGTGACCCTGAGGCTCCTGCTGACCGTGGTCCAGGAACTCACTGACCCGCACCTCCAGGCTCTGGTTTGCTGGGTCAACTTTGGAAGTTGAGGTGGGCCAGCGTGCTTTCCAGGACACTGCCCTGGAGCTGGACTAGTGGGAAACGCCACTCCCGCTTGACCAGGGTCTTTGGCTCTCCTTGGCTGTATATACTCCACTTGGACCTGCCCACTCCTCCTTCCAGCCTCCTCTGCCACCTCTCCAAGTTGTGTGGCTGCCTTCTAGGCTGAACAAGAAGCCATGAGCATCCTGTGAGTGTCCACTCTGGGTCACTCGCTCTTAGGCAAGGTGGCCAGTCTAGGGGACCTGTGGGTGAGTCGCTGAGCCAACCCAGAGTCGGGCTCGGCTGTGGGTTTCCTCAGGTCTGAGGCCTGGCCACTCGGTCAGTGGTACTTCCTGAGAAGACTCAAGGGCTCCTTTGAAGTGCTCTGGTTTCTGGCAGAAGTGCTTCATGCCCGTGATTCTAAAGTCTGCTTGGTTGTGTCATACAGCGGTGTCACCTCCACAAGGAATTGGGGCCTTATCAGAGAGGAGAGCTCTAGGTCTGTAACAACCAAACAGGTATGAAAGCAACCCGGATCCCGTCGCTCCTTCAATCCAGTGCTTAGTGCATGTAGGCTGAAAACTGGGGCCCCATTTACAAGTTCATAGGACGGATATCGAATTTTTCCTAAATTAGCAAAGCTGCAAAATAGCGTGTAAGTTTGGTTCTCTATTGAAATAGCCAGTTCTAAGCCACGTGCTGTGCACAGTGTTTCATGACACCTCATTGGTGATTAGAAGTATTCTAAAGAGAGGGAGCAGATGGGAACCTCCTGAGGCAGGTCCGAGGAGGGTGCCGCTTTGCTTCTGCATGTGTTCTTGGCCACAGCAAGTCACCAGGGTGGTCCAGATACGGGAGTGGAGAAGGGCTCCCCCTCTTGATGGGAAAACAATGTGGCTTTTCATTTCTGCCATCAAGGGGAAAGACTGGGTCCCAGGTGCCTCCTCCTCCTCGTCCCTGATTAGAGCCAGCTGCCCCAGAGCAGGATTGCCCCCTCCACGGCTCGGCCTTGGCCCTGCAGAGAACAGCACTGCCCTCTGACCCCGCCGAGCTCTGAGCTATGGAACTGTGAGGCCTGTGGGCAGGAGCAGCAGGTGCACCAGGGTCAAGGGCCCAGTGAGACCTCCGATCCCAGGGCTGTCTCACATCTTGAGTCTTTGGGGGACTTGCTGCAGGGCAGAGGCTGAGAGGCCGTCCTATGGGGTACTAAGATGGTGTAGCTACTAAACTTTAAAGCTCAATTCTAGGTTTAATTTTGTCTTTCAAGAAACATTTAAGTGTCCAACCCACAGCCCACTTCATGAACAAACCACGACCTATCCCCTGGTTCACCTGGTTGTCTCTCCAGCAGGCCTGGAGCCCTTCTTGCTTCATTCTGAAACTACTCCTGAAGTTCAGCCAGGAGCCCAGGCCTGCCTGCCCACGCAGGGCCACGCCTCTCCAGACCAGTGCCCTGGGGACCTGCCCCTGCCTGCCCTGCGTCAGGCAGAAGATCCTGCAGCTGCTTGTACTCTGGACCCTCCTTGAGCACAACAGCTGTGGTCAGGGGTCACAGCAGTGGCTCTTCTCTCCTTTGGAGGCCTTTCTAGCTGTCCAAGGTCTTCCAAAGAAGTGGCTCCACCTGGCAGCTGAGCAAGGCCTCTGGTTTGCTAAAGGAAGCCCAGGAGCCTCAGAGGCTGTGGATCACTTGTGCCTCCACATGGACCTTCTCGGTCCATGCAGAGACAGCAGTGGACGTACTGACTAGAGCTGCACTGGGGAAGGGAGGGGTGGGGCTGGAGAGTACATGGGAGGAACCCTGCTGACCTCTCTAGGTGGCAAGCAGTTCCAGCACAAGTGGAAGTCCCGTGCTGTGAGAGCCTGGGTGGCAGCGTCCAGCCCAGCTCTGGCTTTGGCTGACCCGAGCACAGCCAGTGCTGGGCGGGCAAGTGTGGGCCTCAGGTGCCCTCTGTGGAAAGCAGTCCTGACATGCCCGTCAGCGTGGAACACCCATCAAAACCCTGAATCAGGTGTAAGGCCACTGAGGGAACTCGGGCGGGAAACCAGGGTGAGCAGGCCAGAGCTGCAGGCAGCATGTGGGTCAGCGTCCACCATATGGGCCCCAGCGCCCTCTGACACAGGGCACTAAGACGTCTCAGCTTTCTGTCCTTCCTGCGAGGGTCTGCATCTACATGCAGAGGAAAGTTAATCCTCTGGCAGTGCCTGGGAGGCTGCAGCTGAGGCCTGTGGGCAGGAGCAGCAGGTGCACCAAGGTCAAAGGCCCAGTGAAACCTCCAATCCCAGGGCTGTCTCTGTGTCCCCCTCCTGACAGCTGTGGAACAGTCCCGTCAGAGACCAGAGCCCTTGCACTTCGCATACTCTGCTTCCTTTCTGTGAGGGTCAGAGGTAGGAAGCAAAGCTACGCTGGCCAGAGAGAAGAGGAATCAAGGTCAGCATGAAAGTGGCCGTTACTCCAATAAAATACACGTGAAGAGATTTGCAAGGGTCCAGTGAAGTGTGTCGTTATTAGAAATTGTTAAATAGAAAAACGATTGTGGGTTAAGCATCACAGTCCACTGTGGACGTGGGGGAACTGTCTCAGTGAGCAGAACCTGGTCCCCTTGCCCTCTTAGCAACTCTGACAAAGGAAAGACTGGCTTGGGGTCCACAGGAGGCGTGGCTGAACAAAAGTGTCCCCTGGCACTGGGGCAGCGTCTGGAGAATGACGTAAACCACACGTTCTGGGGAAGGCTGCTGCAGGCAGGGAGACTCCTGAGCTGCCACAGGTACTTGCTGGACAGGCTCGGCCCCCCGAAGTTCCCTGGGCACCAGCTGCTTTCTGGCTGTCAGCCTGGAACGCAGGTTTATGAGGTCAAGTCCAGTTGGATTGGGAGGGAAGAACTGGAAGCTGTGTTTGGGAACCGTGCATTCTGACAGGACAAGAGCGTGATCCTAGTCCTGCGTGGGTCCCTTGGGATGCAGGAGGGCTGCGCAGTCTCACAGCCATGCATTTCCCAGCTCAGGCTTTGACCTGATTTCCTTTCATAGATTCTGCAGTTACAGCCCAACTGCTGGTTGGAGCTCGTGGCAGCTCCCAGCCTGCGGTGCTAGGGCTTGAGGATGAAGTTGTTGCCCCAACGTGCAGAAGGCCAAGGAGGCTCGTGCCAAGGTCATGGCTCAAGAAGAAGTCCTCCTCAGGCAGCGACGGCTGCTGAAAGGGTGAAGTGCAGGTGACGCTGCATGCTAACACGGATGATGGGCTCCTAAGAGGGACAGAGGGGCCTGCCCCATCAGGGAAGCTGTGGGCGCATGGTCGTCATCTGTCAGGACTCCTGGCTGCCACTGTGCACCTGGGGCCTTTTCAGCCCATGGTGGAATTGTGAAAATAACCAAGAAAGGGGTTGCCAATTAGGTGGTGTGCGGCTTCTGTCCTCCTCTGCCTCTGCCCACCTGTCTGCAAGAGACAGTGAGCGTGCGCACAGGGACACAGACGTAGGGCGGGTTTCACAGCAAATGCACACAATACACTGAACACTTGAGATTGTTCTTGGTACAATACAAACAGTCATGTTTGTGAAGATTTGGAGGCCAATGTGCTCAGTTTTAAGAAGGAATGTAAAAGAGCAATTCCTGTTTGGTAACTGCGCCTGCGGGAGCGCACCACCTCATAAGGTGAACTTCATCAGGAAGGGCCGCTGTGATGTGGAGGGGAGGAAGTCTCACCCTGAATCACGCAAGGGGCGGTGAGGGCTCCAATGAAAACTGAATTCAGTATTCCAGATGGCACCACAGCCCGCCGGGCGCTGGCACAGTGGACTCGGGGGTTTTACCAGCAGCTCCAGGCTGGTCCTTGAGGCTGCACTGGACCTGAGCCGGGAAGAAGAGAGCAGAGACCCGCCAAGCTCCTCTGGCCCAGCTGGTGTGCCCCTGCTGCTCGAGTAGGAGTCCCGGTGGGACCAGCGTCCCCAGCCCGGTGCCCACGCAGACGGTAAGCTCCCCCACCGCCCACCACCCCTGTGTAGGAGTGGGCGGGTAGGAGTTGATCTTTTCCAGATATCACTCTGGGTAGGTAAAAACTGCCTTCATGGCTACTAAAAGCTGAAGAGAAGCCTGACTCATCATGGCTCCCAGGCCTGGTGCGAGGCTCCTGGGACGGGCGCGGGCTGCGGGGCTCCCTTCCTCTCCTCCACATCACAGCGGCCCTTCCTGATGAAGTTCTCACTGGACCCTCTGCATTCGGCCTAGGCGGAGACGGGGGGTTTGAGGACGCTTCCGTCCCACATCACTTTCTGAAGTCTCCAGGATTGGCCACGTTGTACAGAACACTCTGGAGTGTTGTAAAGATCTCAAAGCAGCAAGACACTGAGAGGACAGAAAGGAACAGAGCTCTGCGCCCAGCGTCAAGGACAGTCCTGGCATGAGGGGGGACCAGACGCGGCCTGGTACCTCACCTGACGTGTGCCAAGGATGAAGGAGGCCGATGCGGACATTCTTTATTAAATAAGGGCTGCTTTTCTCATCATTGTGTTTGAGTCGTTAAAATTCAGGCAATTTTAGGAAGCTGTGGCATGAGAAATAGCCTGGTGTTGGGCATGAAAACACCTGTCTACATTTCCTCGAGAGGCCAAGGATGCCCATTCTGGAGGTGTCACCACGCAAAACCGTGACACAGAGTGGTGCCTTTGACTCCTGTTTACCCTGAACATTGCCTCAGAACATGAGGCCCCCCTGGCTCTCCCCCTTTCTACTCCGTGAGTAGACGGAGTAAAACATCAATTTCTACAATTTCCAGGAGGGGCAATCTTCAAAGGAAAATGAGGAGGGAAACCAGTATCGACCAAATTTGTAAGATCAAGAAACTGCAAATGTCACAGAAAGAAGTAATCCCAACAAAGAGCATTCTGAAGCAAAGGGCACTCTCTCATTATTTTCGTATTTATAGAAACGCTCCTTGGGTGACTTGGTACCCGTGAATGGTGCACCTGCTGCTGTCCTGCTTGCTCTCTGTCCTCCTGTCGAGGGCCCGTGACCTGCTCACCGGCACTCACCGTCCAGAAGCCTGTTCTTGAACGTGGTGTGGGGCGCGTGTGCTAGGTGTGTGGAGGGTGGCTGTGAACGCAGCCGATTCCTGAGAGGCAGGGAGGGCTGCGGAGGGAGGGCTGAGGTTGGCTCAGAGGAGGAGCCAGGGAACCAGGACGCAGCCCCAATATGCCCAGGGTATGCTGAGCTGCCCAGGGCCTCGGGGTCCAGTGGACAGGGACAGCGTCCATCCTGTGGCAGTACTAAGGGAGTGGACACCTGAGGACGCTCCCCTCTGGTTGGTCTGGCTTCTCCCTGGGGTGCTGCTCCTCGCCACTGGCAGACCCTCGGGCGCTGGACTTCCTCCGCCTCTGGCATCAGAAGTGCAGCTCCCAAACTCTGGGAAACCAGTGCTTCAAGGTCACCTTAAGCGCTCTTGACAAAAGGAAATCGTCTGTCAGGCATGTTATACAAACCAGTATTTGACAAGCTCAGTGACTTGATTCAGTCACAGGTAAACGTGAGAAAAGTGCATCCTCTCAGTGTGATAAAGGACCAGTCTGCACTAACCTGGCACTTGGTGGGACTCTCCCACGTGGAGCTGCACATTCCTGGCTGGTGCCTGTCCTGCAGAATTCCAGACCACGTGCTGTTCCCTGTGCAGTGGAACAGTGGCAGGAGCCAGGCCACCGTCTCTCATGCCACCGGCCCAGAGGTGCTCCCGGCCTGCAGCTGCCTCAGAACTTTGCCAAACGCCACGTGGACGAGACTCTGGCTAAGCAAAACCTCTCTTGAGGTTTTAGGTAAAATAGTAATTTTAAAATTACTATTTTACCTAATCTAAATCAGAAGGGGAAGAGACAGGACAAGACAATGAGAACAGGAAGAACCCTCCAACGACTTCATAGCCCATCAGTAATGAGAATGGAATTCATCATCGGCTTCCATTTTAAAAACAAGTTCATCCCTACCTGTTCATAGTTTTTATATGTTTGCTTTGACTTTTGTATCTTCCAAATGCGACTTTCCCCCCAGTTTTTTTGTAAGTGTCATATAGGTTTTAATCTTCTGTTTTCGTTTAAGTTTTGAAAACTTGAGCTCCCACCAGCGAGTTCCAATCTGGTGCTGGATAGCTCTTGGGAACCCAGACACAGGCACAGGTCTTCCATGAGCCTTCCTCCAGGGAGAAGCCCATGGATTCCTCCCCCGGGACCAGCGCAGGCTGCGGCTAAGCTTGCACCTTGACGGGCAGAGAGGCTGGCACACAGTCGGCTCTGAGGGTCCTTCCTGTTCTCAATCTCTTATCCTGCCTGTCTTCATCCTGACTGACCTATGATAACCAGAATTGCCCTCTGCAAGTAACAGAAATTCAAACCAAGCCAACCTGCAAGAGCGCGCTCACACACACACACACACACACACACACACACACAATCACTGGTTTATGCACTTTATAATTATGGGTAACTGATGTTTACATATTACTGTCTTCTCCCCACCAAACGCAGAGTCATGCACGTAAACTAGAGACGTTCCTGTTTTAAATGCTGTGAGAATCTTCTGTTAGGAGCCCTAAGCCTCTGCTCTATCCCTGCAAATCATGAAGGATGTGGGGTCTTGGATGGGGAGGTCACTCTCCAGCTGAGCATCATCTCATCTGTAATCTCTTCTGTAGAAGACTGATTTCAACTTGCACTGACCTCAAAGCCCAATTCAGGAGTCTTCTGTTCTCAGTAGGGATTCTCTCTATAAAGCATAGGTGAGCAATGTACATTTACTAACGACTTTGTGCAAGACCCTAAGGGTGAACTCTCATTGCCTGACATAGGGTATTTCACTCCAAAAAAAACCGAGAATTGACTTTTCTCATCCGCCTTCTCCATTCCCGCCTTTGGTCTCCTTCGACCCATCCTGCCTTGTGAAGTCTCGACTCTCTCCTCTGAAGCAGAAGCAGAGCTCACTCTCAGAGGCCAGAGGACTGGCAACCCTGGAGCCCCCAAACAGGCTTGTGAATCATTAAGTCCAACCCTGCAGTCTCCCCCAAGGGGGGCACTTGGAATGTAGCTAAGGATTTTTATCTTTGCATTTACATTTAATTACATTTAATTGTTCGATTCTCCAACAGTGCTCCTTTTAATTTCTCTAGATGAACCCAGGATGTAAATATTTTCCAGTCCAAGGAAGAGTCTCCAGTGGGCTGGAGCTGGTCGATGAGCCGCCACGTCCTGCATGCAGGGTCTCTGGGAGCGTCTCCAAGGGCAGCCTCCACCTGGGAGCCACAGGAACCAGGATTTCCCACTTCTCCTCTAGGAACAAAGCATCGTGAGCTGCAGGAGAGGAGAGAAGACATATCGAGGGGTTTATTTTATGGCGATTGTGAAAATGGTTAGTGGGTAAGGTGTGGAGAGCTCATGGTGTAGCATGAGAAAAATGCGGGGTCTCTCCTGCCAAGAGTGACTGGCAGAGAGAAAGAGGAAGAGTGCCTTTCTCTGTGGTTTGAGACTTTTTACTAGAGAAGACAAAACCGAGAAAACTCGCTATGCAAATTTACATGTTTCATTAATATTTACCACTTGGTCCAATTTGATGAAAAGGAGTCAAGAGTGTGGAAGCAGAAGAAGTGGCCACCCAGATGGAGGCTCGCAGTTGCTGATCTTTCTGCTGCTGCGAGGACACTTGAGGCAGGCCAGCCATCTCCCGCCACGTCCCCTCTGCCCCACAACTCACGCCATGCGGGAAAACCAAGAGCAGGCACGGGGCGGGCACGGCTGCCCCGAGAGGCCCAGCCAGCTGGGACAGGTCAGAGACCAGGCAGGCCAGCCCAGCGAGGTGGCTCTGGAGGGGAACTCTTCCGCTCATTTCCTGTGTTTACATCACACGTTGGACTGTTATCACATTAACGTGATGTTGATCTAACCTCATGTTTGTGTCTCAGCTAAAAAACGAAAGTAAGCTGGGAGCAGTGGACTCCCACGGGGATGAGTGGAAGTCAGCACTGCGTGCCAGCCTCGAGGAACCCACTGACCAGCCACGCAGACCGCTGCCCAGGACGGGCCGAAGGAAACACCACCACGGTCCCAGCCAGAGCACTCAAAGGGCACAGTGGCCTAGCCACGGAGGACCCCTTCCTCCATGACAACACAAGCTTGATAAGGATACTTGGTTAGCACATAAAATTGTAGGAAATATACTTGCTTATCAAGAAATATTCCAGTAATTGAGAAAGGTGTTTATTTTTTAAGTTACAATTTTTTCTTCCTTAAAAAAAAATGGTCTTGAAAAGTACTGATGGTTTCTCGTTTTTTTCCCTTCACTAGCTTCATGCCAGTTAGTGAAACTGACAACTCAAATTCTTAAATTGATCAGTGTAGACCATATCTGGCTTGGATGTAAGTATTACTGAGCAACCCACCTGTGGTAAGAGCCCTCTGCTGCTCACGGTAGTAAAACCCTCCCACAGCCTCTGATCCTGTGGTCTTTGAAAATCAAGGTTAAATGTGGGGCTCCAGCCCCAGGCAGGGAGCTGCCTCTGGGATCCAGGCAACATGGGCTGGTGCCACCTGGATGCAGAGCAGAGCCAGTGGTTTCCGGCTGCAGCTGGCGCCACCTCGTGGCCGCTGCGCACAGCGGCGAGCTACCCTGAGGCAGGATTCTGAGGCTACTTGGCACCCTGTCCTGGCTCTACCTGCTGAAGACTCAGAGGAGGCAGCCACCACTTTGCTTCATCACCGCCTGGCTGCCTGTCACTTTCAAGATGAGAATTTTACCCGTTATCCTTTGAGTTCTCCTATAAGTGCTCTTTATCAGGATTCAGATGATCTTGGTGAGGAGTTCTACCTGAATTTAAAATATTAAAAGTTACTGAGAACTAGAACAAGATTCTGGGAATGCTTCCAGGTGATAATTCCTCTGTGCATTCCTAGTTTTGCTAAGCATCTGAGGCTGGCTTGGGACTTTCGATCCTCCGGCCTTAGCCTCCGGAGCTGCTGGGATTACAGGCACTGCACCAGGCTTGGTTCCGCATGATGTTAGGATAGTGCCGCCCAGCCCCTCAGTGGTCTCAAGAAGTGCCCTGTCACTGAGCAGGGACTCCTGCAGGCCAGAATGCCTCTCCACCCCCGTCTGAGTAGGCCAGGTGGGCAAAACCACAGCCCACCACCTGGAGAGAGGCCACACAGGAGCCCTCATACTGTTTTGACTTAGGACTTCTAAAAACAATTTCAATTGTGACAGGAGACAGTGTTTTTTAATTGATAAAGTTATTTTTTTAAAGCACTATGAAATATTTTATGCAGAAAATTATAGAGAAATTAGAAATTGCTCATGATTTCACCACCTCAAAAAGTCAAACTGTTTTTAAGGGAATACATAAATGTGTTTCAAAAATTCATGTTGAGAATCATGAAATGAAAATTAGAAAGTCTTTCCTCATCTTCTCCCCCAAGTCACCCCACTGACCATGAGGAAGTTTCCCATACAGTCGCCAGGTTTGTGCATGTGCTAGAACAGTTCGACCTCTTGTTTTTGCACTTGATGTATTTTGGAAATCTTTCCTTATCATCACGCACACATCTGCATCATTAAAAGGATAAGAGAAAACCATCCACTGCCTCAGCATGGCTTCCATCCAAGAGCAGAATTGGGGATAAAAGACTTAGGTACAGAGACACCTTAGACAGCTTGGGCTGCTATAGCAAAATAACACAGACTGAAGACACCCAGACTAGGAGCCTAAAGTCACACGGATTGATTTCCCATGGCTCTGGAGGCTCAGGAAAGATGAGGCTGGGTCCTAGGAGGCCCTTCCTGTGGGTGGATGTGTCTTGCTGTCTCCACCAGGTGGGGAGAGGGAAAGTGGACTCCCTGGTGTCTCTTGATAGGGAACCAATCCTATGTGAAGGCTGCACCTGGGTGATGTCTCACTTCCCCAAGCTCCACCCCCAAGCACCATCTGGGAGCAGGGAGCAAGACCATTCAGTCCATAGCAATGACCCCATGGACCAGGAGGGAGGCCCTGAGGCAGTGTGGCAGCCGACCTCCAGGAGGACCCAGCTTCCCCTCTCCTGGCCTTCACCCCTTATGTGGACCCCACACTGGGCCCAGGTGAGGCCTACGTCATCGGCAGCACACAGTGGCAGTGACCACACCCCTTTTAGAACTTGGTAAGGAGACCTGCTGCTCTTACTCTCCTTTGCCCCTCTCCTGACCGCTCACTCCGGGAAGCCACTGTGTGAGGAGCTGCAGACCCTGGGTGGGAACAGGGCTCCTGCTCAGAGCCACACATGCAGAGTGGGGGTGGGGGAGCTCCAGCCCCACCCGGCCTCCAGGGCAGCCCCGGTGATGACCTTGAACCTTGATCCTTGGAAACGTTCTGGGCTCCAACCATCCAGCTCAGCTCTTCCTGAAGGCCGGCCACAGACACTGGAGAATGAGACACTTAAGCCGCTAAGCCTGAAGGTGATTTGTTAAGTGGCAACGGATCACGCAGTGTTTGAGTGTTGCCCAAAGTCCACGTCTCCAAACTTGGTCCCCAATGCAACAGCCAGGGAAAGTGGGGCCTGTCAGAGGGGGTGGGTCCCCGCGGGGCTGTGCCTCTGGGGTGGGTCGATGTCATCGGGAGTGGACTAGCTCCTGCAAGAGTGGCCTCCTTATGAAAATAGCGTCAGGCCCCCTCGTGCCCTGTGGCACTCCTGTGACCCTTGCCCTTCCACATCCTGCTGCAGAATGACAAGGCGCCAGCCCCGCCAGAGGCCAGCCCCTGGGTCTTGGACTTCCCACTCCACAGAGCTGTGAGAAGTAGATTCTCTTCTTGACCCTTTCCCCAGCCTGAAGTTCTGGAGAAGGAGATGAATCAGGAAGTCAGCAGGAGCAGGAGAGCCAGTACGGATGCGGGGCCCCGTGGCCGTCGGATGCCCTCCCAGGACTGTCCAGGGAGCCCCAGGAGGGGTGCCTCAGCGCTGTCCATTTCTGGCAGCTCCGTCCTCCAGGCGCAGGACACTCCCTGGGTGCCGCCAGTCAGCCTTCAGTGAACTCAAGACCTTATAAGAACGAGCTCCAGGTCACAGTTCCAGAGGCTCCGTCCATAGTTGGCTGACCCCGTGGCTCTGGGCCTGAGGTCAGGAGGAGTGTCGGCAGAGGGTGTGGTGGAGGACAGCTGCTCAGCTAGGGGCAGCCAGGAAGCACAGAGAGACAGGGGAAGGGGCCAGGGGCAGATAGAGTCAAAGGGCACATCCCAGTGACCCACCTCCTCTGGCCACACCCCACCTGCCTGCTGTTAGACCCACAGTTCATTGAAATTATCAATCCATCAAGTAGATTCCCCGCTGATGATGTCCCCGCTCCCAGGATCCAGTCACATAACCTCTGGGCACTCCTGCATCACCTGACCAGGAGCTCCTTGGGGGACATTTTTAGATCCAAGAGGTATCAGGGGCTCACTGTCCAGCACGCGGAGGTCACACATGTGAGCAGCATGTGGGTTCCCAGGGGCTTCACACGCCACACCGTTAGGTGCACGTCTCCCTCTCAGCAAGGCCGTTGGGTGGCCTGCGCCAGCATGGTTGAATCCTGCTCCCCGCCACAGTGCAGGTGGTCACGCAGGGTCTGTAGCAACTGCAGATCTCAGGGCTGTTCCATGCCTTCCCGTTGGCCCCCACGGGTACCCCCAAGGTCAACATACAGTTCCCCTGGGGGTTGTTTAAAAAACTGAAACTGAATACATTCACCAAGATGGATTTTTACTGCATATGGTAAGTCAAATTACATTGTTAAGGCCTCTATGGGTTAATTGCATACAAATGTATCATGCTTAAGTAAAAAAATGATCTTTGAAATCCACGAAGTTAGTAAAAGTTTATGTATTTTAGCTGATAGAAGCTAAAGGAATGAAAGCACTGCCCACATTGTTAACCCGAACCTCCCAGGTCCCTTGGACCCTCGGGGGACTCTTCAAGAGAAACTTAGCACTCTGAGGGGCCACAGGGCCAGAGATGAATCACCACTTCCTTTTGCAAATCAGACATTGCAGCTGAGTTCAGCTCTGAGGAATATTGAAACATTGGTATTTTTCCCTTGATTTTGAGTTTCATGCTAATTTTCTTTGATTATATGACTTCCCAAAATATCTTTGAGGTTGACCTTAAAGTGCGGGGGCCTCACATCTCAGCCCAGGAAGCTACCACGCTACTCAACCGAGCCCTCTGGCTTGTGGATCTTTCTTTCTGAAACTGGATGAGGAAATCTGCTGGCAGAAATGATCTTTAGAAGAAAGGCCGTGACTCAGCCTCTGAAGTGGAAGCCGGTTCTCAGGCCGCAGGGTGCAGGGTGGGCAGGGAGCCTCATTCCGGCAGAGCAGAGGAAGTTGGTTAGCACCCCTGTGAGTCAGAAGGGAGCAGGGCAGGTGGGAGGCAGCGGCCTGACCCAGTGACACCCACAGGCACATGCTTCAGACTGTGCCTCCAGCACCTGGTGCCTTCACCCACCTGAGCACCGGGGTCGGCGGGAAACCTCTCCTCCTCACGTCATAAGTCCCAGAGTGACAAGTCCCGTGCACCCAGGCTTTGAAAGTAAGGACTCCCCAGGTCAGAGGTGTTTGTCTGTTTTGTTTTTAAGTGTTCTGCACATTTTCCTCTATTCGTGCCCGTGACGGAGCCTACGTGAAGGTCGGTAGTTCAGAGGATGCTGCATTAGTAAGATTTTAAGCATCGTCCATGCTCCCAGGCGCCTGCCATGTGCTGGACACTCTGTTGTTTATCCATAAGCCAGTGGTGTGCTTCGCTCTGAGAAATGAACAAAGGAAAACAGGAGCTCAGGTGTGTCCAGGGGTGTCCTCAGGGTGAACCTGGAGGAGGCAGAACCGGGTAGGAGCAAACTCGCCTCCACAGGTAGCCTCTGGTCTCTCCCAGGCATCCTTCCCATGGGGTCTCCAGCCCTGCCTCTGCCCGCCCCCACCCAGGTCCAGGCCTGGGCTTTCCCTCCCAGAAGAGGAAGAACTCAGCTCCCAAGAGGCGCAGGGTAATGAACCTTCTTGCAAGAGTTGGTATGAGGAGCTTTCTTCCTCAAAACAAACCCAACGGCTTCCTGATGGATCCAGTCCTTTCAGTCTGTTGGTCACTCCCCATTTCCAGAAGACCACCTGGATGATTCGAGTCACAGAGGATGTGGCTGTTGCCAGTTTCCAGTCAGTGAATGGCAATGAGGCCACACTTCCTGTAGGACAGTAAAGCCCCACCGGCCTCTCCGGGTTCTGCTACTGATCCCCAGGCTCTGTCCAGCTTGGAAGAGATGAGGTCCCAGGCTTTGGGGGAGACTCTGATGTGCAGTTGCCATTCTCCCCTTCTCTCCAGTGTTCCAGTCTGGGGATGACTGGGCTCAGTGCACCTGAGCACAAGCACTTTGCTAAATAGGCAGCCCTTGGACTGCAGCAGCTGCAGGCGAGGTTTATCCTCCGAGAGCTCCTTTCTCCAGGTAAAGGCAAGACAGCCGGAGAGACCAGCTCAACTTCCAGTCTCCTAACGGGTCTAGAATCAGGGCTTAGGTCAAAATGTGGGGGCGATGGAATAGCCATCTTTATTTCAATGAGTCCTAAAATGATTTCCCAACACAAGAGCAAAGGAAAACCAAAAGTCCCCAAAAGGAATGCTGAGTCTCCCTGCAGCTACCAGCCCCTTCTGCCAGCAACCAGTAGTCATTACTAGCAATAGTCACGACCCTGGGCCAGGCCCATCACACACCTGACGTCACAGAGCACCATCTCCGTCTGTTTCTCTCTGCTCCTCATGTCCCCACTCATGCTTCTGAAGGTCTTTTCAGATCTGCCTGGACCTCACTAACGGATCGGCTCACAGCTCACACCAGCTGGGCTTGGGCACAGGTCCTGAATGACCTGTGTGACGGACAGGTGCTTTTAACACCAACGACAGCATGACCCTGAACTCCAAAGTTGTAGAAGTTTCAATAAAACTCAATTTAAAAATCTAGCTATCTCTAAATAACTTTTTATTTGAATGTTTGATATTCACCAATGTTACTGTGTCTTAATTCTCATGTTTTGAATATTTAGAGGAAAACTAACTTGCTAGTATGAAATTATAATATTTTGATTTTCTACACTGGTACTTATATTTGTATAAAAATCTACTGAAATGTTTTACACTTCGGATACAATTACATTCACTCTCAGTCTTTTCGATCCCATTAGTAGAATACAAGCTGTGAAGAAATTTTGGTAACAACATAACCAGTACCTTTAAATGAAATGAAGATCTTTTGAAAATTTTGAAACTAATAAAAAATCATTTAAACTTATGAATTTAAATTTTAAAATGATTATTTATTCAATGATCATCACAATACTTAGGTATGAGCAGTCATTAAAATTCTTACATCTTCCAGGTATTTCCAATATACTACACCTTTATCCATTTTAAATTTTCATTGGGTTAAAAGTATGATCTGGGTGAAACAGAGAGTATGTCTTATCTAGCAGCCTGTCACAGTTACCTGCAAGTTTTCGATGTCTAGACTTAGAATCGATGACCTCTACTTGACGGAGGCCTTGGTGACTCTCTGGGCAGGCCAGGGAGGGACGTTTCTGCTCTCAG